ACAGATTTCAATTTTTAATAACTACCTTCCCAACGAAGACATATTAAATAAAACGATACTTAGTTGACAGGAAATTTTAGCGTAAACGCTTTTAAAAACTTAAAAAAAATATCTTTGCACATATATCCACAATTTCAATTAAATTAAATTTCAATTAAAATTAAAAAAAATGAATTACAGCTCAGTTTCAGCTTTTCAAAATTAGACCATAAGATAATGTTTGGATGATGTTATCTTTAATCTTGCATTGTATGCCATTTAATGAACAAAAAATAAATACCTTCATGTTTTGTAAATCATAACAAAGTCGTTATTTAATGATTAGTCCTTAAGTCAATATTAAATTCTTAATCTGCCACTTAATGCACTTAAAGCACTTCACGACTCAGCAATTACTTAAACTAAGATGGAGATCCTCCCGCGTTCGAAACAAGTGAAATCGATAAGCTGAAAGCAGATAGACTCTGCTTTTCCGGAGGAAAACCCAAGTAGATTGCACACCCTTTTGTTCGCCCCACAAGACAAGCCCGTCATGAAATTGAGGCTATGTCATTTGTTTAGTTTGTTGGCTCAATTATTTAGTAGCAACTGGGCAGACCGAACACACCGAATCGAGGCCTGTCGAGACAGGACTCTCTATACGCAATGGCACGTGTGTGTGTGTGAATGTCCTTGCGGTGTTTATGCAATTACATAAATTCTCTGTGTGACAATTTCGATTTGGATTTTCTTTTATTCAAATTATGCCTTCAAGTCCATCAGGGCCCAACACACTTGAGCTCTCTGCTATAAAATATTTATTGCCGGCAAATAAATCCCACACACTGACACGAGCAGACGTCGTTATGGTAATTAATTTCAATCGAACACGAGACCTGGCATAATCTTATTTATGCGACTTGTATGTGGGCAGTGGGATTTGGCATTTCTGATTTAGCATTTAGCATTTACCACTTCAGATTTTGCACTTTTCATTTTTCCCCTATGTTTCTTACTAATTGATGGGCTAAGAAAAAGATATGTCAATCTTTTCCCCTATTCTCGACCGCAACAAAATCAATTGCCTGTCCAAGAGGCCTGGCCAATATTTGAGCTGCTGCTGCTGCTGCTGCTGCTGCTGCTGCTGCTGCTGCTCATGCAAAATTTAATTTTAATTTCTAGTGGGCAAATATTGCAAAAGTGAGAACAAGCCAATTTCCTTTCACAGCATTCGGGCGGTATACACATTTTAACCACTTGACTGCACTGCGGCTACGACTTGAGCTTAAATGCGGCCAGAAGTCAAACACTGGCTAAGTTTTCGGCCCTGCCTGCTCCACCCTCTCGATTTCCCTCGACTAGTCTCCCCAAATACTAGTGTGTTTCTGCCAATTGACATGCAGACCTGCCTGGCAGCCGTAAATCGGCATAAATAATTCATTATTGCCGCTTCGTTGCGCATAAATCAAGTCATTGGCCGTGGCCCGCACACAAGCAGTTCAGGCCTAAACGCATTTAAAGAGCCAGAAACCGAAAAAAAAACATATGGTAAAAATAAAAAAGTACAAAAAATGTACTTGGAGATGCCGGGGATTGAACCCGGGGCCTCTCACATGCAAAGCGAGCGCTCTACCACTGAGCTACATCCCCGATGTGAAACTGCTGAGCCAAAATGCATTTTCCACTGGCTACAAGGGATGTAAAGGAATTAAAGGTGCAACAGGAAGAAAAGGATAAAGGAGCAAAAGGGGGTTGTTAAACGGAAATCACAGGAAAAATTAATAGTCTCAGATGTATAATAAAATAGACTACCTTTTATTCTTAAGTTTATTTGTTACTTTCTTGGTTGAATTCTACAAACTTATTAAGTTATTATAACTAACTAAGTCGGAGTGATTACTGTTACTAACTTATTTTTTGTGTTTTAAATTTTAAACACAATCAGTTACTTTGTAATGTCTGTTTATTCTAGTTTATTACCCTAAATGAAACAAAGACTTGCTTACAATAATTTGCTAGACTACATAATTAACATAAATATGTATTTAAAATGTTAATAAAACTGTTATTTACCTTAAAGATCTTACAAAAACAAACAAACAAATTACTAAATTACTAACGCTGCGCCACCATTCAATTTCATTTTGCCCAGCAACCACTAGCCACTTTTTTCTTATAGACATTTTGCTCGCAAGTTGAACATCGGGGATGTAGCTCAGTGGTAGAGCGCTCGCTTTGCATGTGAGAGGCCCCGGGTTCAATCCCCGGCATCTCCAAGTACTTTTTTTTTCTTTTTTTTTCTTACAATCAGTTGCATGATATACGTATTTTTTTTCCACCACCACTATTCTGAAGCGATGCTTTGCGGTACTTTGTCTCTATTGTCTGGCCGATTTTCAGCCCGCTTCGCACTGAAAAAAGCCACACATGATCATCGGTTGAAAATGATTCCGATTCTGAGATCACAAAACCAAAAAAAAATCGATTCGCTTCTTCGTAAAATCGATAAAGTGATCCATGTGAGTAGCAGGCGATCAGGAATGAACAGCATGTTTCGTACCGCTCGCACATTTTCTATACGCCCGCATGATCGTTTCGTTTCAAAACTATAAAATGTGAGTGCGAGCAAGATGGCCAGCTGCTGTGAGTGAGATGGCAGTACGCAGAGAACCGTGACCGAGCAAACGCAAACATATATGTATACATATATGCCGGCTAATTACGTATGTGTGATATTTTATTTTTTATTTCCCCAGCGGTGTGCGCGTGTTTTGTTCGAGAGTTGAATTGAATCGGTTCCGTTGGCTTTCTGAGTTTTTCTGGTCGCCTGGTCGCTTGCTTAAGAAGATTGAACGATTTTTGCACGGTTTGGGTTTTTTTTAAAAGTTCATTTGAATTTCCTGTTTCGATAAGTAGAATTCGACAAAAGATGAGGGGAATTTTTCGTCGAACAAGTAGGAATTTTTAACCCTTATATATGAGATTTTTCAATATCTGTTCAGAGCTCTTTCATTGCAAACGCAATTTAAATCATTTATTACGAAAACCCGCTGTAGGATTAAAGAAAACTTTTTTATTACAGTTGCCTGCCCGGAAACTTTTGGCAAAATCCCACGACAGCCCAACCTGCATTTGCACCTTCTTTTCTTTGTTTTTGTTGATTTCTCTTCTTTTTTTTTGTGCATATAAATTTGTTGCCTAATCCGGCGACGTTTTCTCAGGGAGTTGCATTTAATGCCGCACCATTTGCTATAAATATTCATGCAAATGGGCAGAGGACTAAGAAAGCAGCGCCACCCCCAGAGATAAACAGGAAATCGAAAAACAGAGCAGGTGGCGCCCTTCGCTCAGCCTTAATTAAATGTAAAGGAGTTGCGCTTTAAATGCAATTGCCCTGCTCTGAGTGGGAACTTATTAGCAATTTCATAATTGCCGGTACTACTTCTGTCTATTCGCCTTTGCCATTCCAAGAGTTGGCGGGTCCAACTTTTTCAAAAACTAATTAAAACGATAAGAGCCACCGAGTAGCGCAGCGAAATGTCACCACGGAGTCCCCAAAAACGTCAACATAACACTGAAGGAAAAAAGGGACAATCAAAATTAAAAAAAAAAAATTAATAAAAAATAGTTTTATTTTAATGTAATTTTTTAGTGTTTCACTTTTAGCCCCATTTTATTATTGTTTAAAATGAAGCCTTTTAAGACTAACGATTTAAATTAGGTTCCCTTAACGTTTAGATTCTCACACTCAAAATAAACAATATCATTGAAACGAAAGGGCTTGATTTTGAAAAACTAAGTTATGGATCTCCGGATATTGGATATTTTATTGTATTTTCTATTGATTTGGGACGACACCTTTCGGATTTCAACACTAGTTTTTTTTCTGTACAACTTGCCAGTGGAACTTCGACTATTATTTCCTTGCGATGTTTATCTAAAGATCGGGCCAAATTTGCATTAGCACACGGCTTTTGTTTGTCTCCAACACATGAAGTGAAACAAGTGGACGGAGAGGCGGCGAAAGTCAATTTACTTGAATGGCCAGGCGGAAATTAAATAAATTCCATGAGCAGACGTCAGGTGAGCCAGGCCGAAAATGACAGTTGTCAGCTGTCAAAAAGCAGGGACAAAAGTACAGTTTGACCACATGTCCATAAGCTTGGATATTACCACCTCACCCACCCACATTGCGATTATTAGATCAATAGCTGAGATTCGCTTTGCTTGGTATTTACCAAGGTTTCATTACATTTTCAGGGAACTCGTTACGAGATGGCAACGGATTTCGGTTGCACTGTTCGCAAATAAAAAGGGAAATGCAGTACCAGTACACATGAATCCCATTCTCGGTCATCCTGATTGATTTCCATACAGGTAAGGCACTGGCTTGGAAACAACGTTGGACACTGCTGATAAGCAGCCAGACAATAGTCATTAAAGCCGTTCCAAAGTGAAGACAATGGAGTGAAGGGTTGTACGGAAATAATGTGCTTAAAATCGAAAGCATTAAGTGACGGGCAATAATACTGTACTCCCGAAGGGTTTTTTGCACATCACTCCAGAAATAAGCCTATGGACTTTCAGTGGGTGATAAAAGTATTTTTTTTAAGGGTGCTTCAAAGTTTTTAAAAAGTCGATATTATTTAACTAAAATTAGTTTATGGAAAATCGATTCTAATTAACTTAAAGTAATTTTGATACTGAATTTGCATAGATTGAATGGACTTTTAGTCAAACCTTTTTTTTTCTTGGTAAAAAAATAGACAAATATAAGAACTTTCAATTATAAATATGTTAATCTCTCAGATTTAGACAACCGATCAAACTTATTGCTAGCGAGCTCCTTTCGTTGTGGGTAACTTACCACAGTGATCCCGGCACTTTCGGTTATTTTTCTGGCCACCCCAAGAGTATGCAATATATCGATAAATAACGATCGGGCTTTTTTTACCTGGTGACTGGAGGAGTTCGGGTTTTGGGTCTCACCTGCGGACGCTTCAGCGGTCGAAATCAGTTACGATTTGCCCGCGAAAGCGTTAACAACGTCAAACGGACAATAATAATACATAGAAATAATACCAGAAAGGTATAGCTTCCTCTCTCTCTCCCTTCCTCTTTTTCGCCTGTCAACAGTTATTTTAGACGAGCGATTTTTGTGTGACTTTTTCGTGGGCTCGCTTTCGATTTTTCGTCGTTCGGCTGCTCTTCGGTTTTTTGCTGTTACAGCTCCTTCATTAAGAGATAAGTAAGGCTTAAAAATAACAACAGCGCGTGTGTGTGTGTGTAACTGCGTTTGCATACGAGGAGAAACAGCAACAGAGTGCAACAGCAACACAACTGCAGCCACAACTTCAGCAGTACCAGCAACTTAACAACTCAACAGCAACAACAAACTGAAATTCAACATCAACAAAAACATTTGAAAGGGAATTTTTTCTATTTGTTTTAGCGGTAAGTCGAGAAATTTGCAGCCTTGAGACAGTTTTAAAACCACTGAACTTGGGAGAGAAATGCCAGTAGAATATCAATTGACTCCATTGGAATTCCTGTTTCGGTTGAGTTCGCCAACAACGTGCTAAACATAAATATTGCAAAAAGAAAAAAATAAAACAAAAATATCATTAAATAATTTGCCATGATTTAACAAAGTTAATAAAAGTCCATTTCATTTGTTAGCCATCCCAATTGAAAGCCATAAAAAAAACATTTTCAATAACTGAAATTAAATAAACAATTTACACACGCAAAGCGATCCGGAATGGAAAAGAGAAGGCGATTAGGCGAGAGGGAAGAGAGGCTGCAATCAGCCTTAACGATTACACCGCAAAAAAAGGGTATTTTTTGAGACATTTATTAACAGTTTGTTTGTTGAAATGAAATGTTTATATCAAGCAGTAATAAAATTAATTTTAATGAGAAACAAATTTATGTCGATTTGGGGTACAAAACAATCATTTTAGAAACCACCAGAAACAAATTTACAGTAACTTAACGTTTATTGAAAAAGCTTTTACCAACTGTTTTGTTTTTTACTGATAATTAAAAGATATTATATTCGCCAAACTATCAAAGATAAGAAGCTGTATGCTTAAGACAAATTTGTTTAAAAATGTTGTTCTCTGTGCACCCAAGCTGAATAAATAGACTAAATCAACCAAATTCAAATACGTTTTATTGCGTACCGCTAAATGGTTGCCCTGTTAACTGTTTTTGGCTGCACTAACATCCACACCGCCTTACATAATAATTGTTTTGATTTATTGCCCCCTCTCGCTCGCACGCTCTTGCCCCCTCTCTTTCGATCGCATTGCATAAGGCTGTTTTCAAATGCGACATGCATGCGATTTTGTCTCTTTTTTTTCTTTTCGCTTATCGTAGGGGTCTCTTTTTTAAGCGCTATTCATAATTCGCTTTCAGTTTGGCATTTTCTTCTTCTTCTTGTCAGTTAGGCACTCCCCAGAAACACCCCCCTGAAAAACCCCCTCACCCCACCCACCTCGAAAAACCCATTCCCCTTGGGGTTTCGACCAAGTGACAACTCTGGTATTCCAGCTATGTCCCAAAGCAGGTTTCTTTGATCGTTTTTTTTTCTTTATTTAGTCTTTTTCTCTGTTTTTGTTTAGACTTTGCTTTTATTTTTTTTAATTCACCGGTTTACTTCACCTGAGCTGCTTGGTTGTGCATTTTTGTCGCGTGTGTTTCTGGTTTTTCAGAGTGTTTTTGTGGGTTTTTCTGTGGCACTTGCCACGATTTAGATCCAAATCTTCTGCGTTCTGCGCTTGTCACTAGCTATGCTAATTCGATTAATGTCTGCGGCTTCGGTATTTAGCGATCGGGTTTTGCATTTAACGCGGCCACAGACCATCGCTTTTTGACACATTTCGCGGTGGAAATATCTTGGGTAAGATCATTAAAGAAGATGTCTAGAACACAGCCAGTTCTTAAAAGGGGATTGGCCCAGAATTTCTGGAATTCTTCTTATTTTGCTTTGCTATTTTGAAGTTCGTTTAACTTTGGGTATAAGAATTAACTAGTACCTAATCTTAAAACAAAGATCCAAAAGTTTCCCATCGAAGGATTTATTCTTCTTAACACCTTATTTTTGCCAATTTCCTAGAACTAATTCAATCGCAAAATTTGGTGTGAAAAGAAGACAGATCATGATAGATAAAAATATGACTACTAACTTTTATCCAGAATTCCCCCATCAAGGTTTTTTAATAAATTACGTGATTAGGTGAAGAATATCTCCCAAGATTCCACAGATCTCGATTTCAATATATCATTTGTATTTCGCACCTGCAAACAGCTGATTTTGAAGGCCAAAAGTGATCGTGATCGCTTTGATCGCCTTTTCGAATTCGTAGCCTTGAGTGCTGAATGAAATTTTAAGCGAAAATAAACAATGATAACCGTTTGGATTCCATAGAATTCGCAAACTTCGTACCTATTTATCATATTTAGGCGAAAATCAAGTCGTGACTCATGAGGTTCCCACATCCATTCATTTGCATTTTGAATGGCATGCGAAAATCTTCACAATTGCAGTGTCTATGCACAATGGATGCTACCTGAATGTACTGTATATATAGTTTTTTAGCTTTTGCAAAAGTTTCTTATATCTTTGATATGAGTGTGTTGGCAAAGCAGCCATTTGCACACTTGGACGGCGTATTGTTTGTGCATTATTATTGCTTCTACTTAAGCTGGCGATCATCATTTTTTCTAAACGGTAATTTATAATATTCTCAAGGTCTTCGCTTAACTGAGAAAACGTTTGACGCAAGATTATTATATAAAAAAAAAAACAAAAGCTATACTCTCCCGAAAAAAGCCAGTTCATTTATCAAACCGAAGCTTAGAAATTTTACTTTTCGCTTTTGATAAACTTTCGAAAAATAAACAAGACAAAATATAATGGTATAATTTATACAAAATATGTGCCTTATTAAATGGATGGGGCGAATGAACGAAAACGAAAGCCCCAATCCCGGTCGGAGTTTCGGTCTGAGTCTAAGTCTGGGATCTCTCACAAAAATGTTTTACTTTTCCTACTCCCTTTTTTTGTTTGGCTACTCGGACAAAAGACCCAAACAAGATTCAACAGCCGAAGAAACGCCTAAAAACAGCAGCAGCAGCTACGAAACAAGTACAAAGCCAAAGATATTTCAAAAGGCCAGCACAAAGCAGCCAGCGGAGAGAAGACCAGACCGGGTGAAGCCAAAAACAGGTTCTAGAATCAATTTTTATTTTCTCAAGCTCAACCAAAAAATAACTACAGAAACAGAATAAAACAAAATCCAAGACGCAACAGGAAAGGCATTGGTTTCCCATTTGGCCGAAATTTTAATGCTCTAATTACGAAGATAAATTTTATTGCTTGGAAATTATTACCTAAAAGTTTAGCTGATAAATTGTTACTAAAAAACATCATTAAAAAAATAGTCTAACGATATTAAATTCATATTAAAATTACCATCAATCTTTTGAACAAACCCCTCTGGAACGTACTTACGAAATAAAAATATTATATTTTATATTATTACAAAATGTAGCTAATGAATTTGTACTACAGGCCTTCGTTACAAAAGCTTAATACAAATAACTAGGCTTCAAAAACAAGAACTAAAATACATCTAAACACAAAATTAGAATTCTGTGTTTAATCAAGCGATCTATTGAATGTGGAGAAACCCCTTAGTAATTACACACTTGCACAATATAACTTATATAAAAATACATTAACATTTATTTTTCCTGTCTAGCCTAAAGCGACGAAGTAATTCATATTTTTATGATGTATTTCAAACCTTCTTACTGAATTTTTAAAATAACCTTTAAGGAGGGTATTTCGAAAATATTCGCCATCTGAACGCACGAAAAATATTTGAGGCGGCCGCAGCATCAAAATGAATTTGGTTAGGACCAGGTTTCTACAGATACAGATACAGAGATACAGCTTCTAAGTGGCTCTCCCTCTGGTTAGCCCGCCCCTTCCCCTCGACATCCCTCACTCAGGGCGATCTTTATACTGTTTTTTTTATTATTATTTTGCTGGTTGCTAAAAAGTATCTGTACTCTCGGCCCGCAGTGTCGTCAGCGTTTGTATCTTTGTGCGGGTATCTTTGCAAGTTTGTTTGGTGGTGTGCGGTGCCACATGCACACGTTCTGTCAGATACATTGCGCCTAGAATTTTTCAGCCAAGTTTTATGAGCTTTTTGTTTTGTTTTGTTTTGTTTTTGGTCAGCAGAAACAAGTCGACTACACGACTTACATCCAAAAACAATTTGTGTTGCATCTGCAAGACAGCTTGGCCAGCGTTTTGAATTAATTTTTTATTGACATTTCCTCTTGTCGACTTGAATTCTATAATTTTACACGTAATTTCCACAGCTGGCTGGCCTGTTGTTTTGGGCGACTCTTGCAAATTGCTTATTAAAGTTGTGATTGATTGCTGAGTACGCCCTGAGATCCGTTGTACAAAAACCTAAAACGCTAAGAAATGATATATGTACGCCTCTTGGGGTTTCTCTTTTCCCATCGTTTTTTTCTCGCTAATGAAATGTGCGAAGTGTAATTGCAAGATTCACTTTTTTTGCAAAAGAGTTTTAATTTATGATCGAGTCGCGGGTTATTTTATGACCAAGGGCACAAGCGATTGAAAGACAATTTGGTATTTTATGGATACTTTAGCTTGATTTATCAAATAAAATTATTTTATGGCTAGCATGTTAGTTTTATACCCATTCAAATGTAAGGATCTCTGCTGCTATTTTAGAATAAAATTAAACAAACCTGTTTCTGTCTTGACCCTATTTCCATGTGACTAGTGTAAATAGCAGGTGAAAATCTAAAAATATTCTGTAAAATATGTTTATCATGAATATTTTAATGGAATTTGTTTGTTATGGGCGCGGTTTCATTCACAAAACAAGTGTTTACAGTAAAGTGACTTCTTTTGTCAACTTTTTCCCGCCTGCAGGTGGCTCAATCTCAGAGCTGGAGACTGAAGTCTGAGTTTGGGGCCAGGCAGGTCACATTGAGAGTCAGAGCCAGATTTACATTCACATTACAGCATTTGCCATTGTCATTGAATAATAGAAAAAAATACAGTAAGCAACTAAAGTACGGGTCAAGACTTCTAGAACTTTTAATACCTTGGGTTAATTAATGTTTTGAATAAGAAATATTAGATCACATTCTCAAAATTTTTTGTTTATTATTATATTAATTTTGAATATGACTATACCCCACAAAAAAAATTAAGGTATAGTTTCGAAAACTGTGTCTTAAAAAAAGCTACAGACAGTATTAAAGTATAAATAATTATTCTATACTAAATAATAAACTACACACGTTTTATATTGATTTCGTAGTGTTAATTTAATACTCATCTTATTGAGACATTTTTTTATGCACAACAGTTTAAAATTCATGTAACAATATTTAAT